GTTGGCGCCGGCTCGGAAAGGCGGTTCTGCCTCGTCCCGCGGCGCTGGGGGGGGCGACGCGGGGAAAGGGCGGCTCCGTGCCTCGGTTTCCCCGGGAAGGGGCCCAGCGTCTTTGTGCACCCTGGAGGGGACCGCAGGCACTTTTGGGGTGTGCTAGGCACCCGTGGGCACCCGGCGAGGGAGGTGCAGGTGACTTTCGGGGTGCCCCGGGCACCCGGAGGGCGTGCAGGCACCTTTGGGGAGCACAGAGCACCCCGGAGGGGAGGGGGTGCAGGCAACTTTTGGGGTGCACCAGGCACCTTTGGGCACCCCAAAGGTAAGTGCAGGCACCTTTCAGGGTGCATTAAGCATCATCTTTGGGCACCCTGGCACGGGGGTGCAGGCACCTTTGGGGGTGCACCAGGCACCTTTGGGCACCCCAAAGGTAAGTGCAGGCACCTTTCAGGGTGCATTAAGCATCATCTTTGGGCACCCTGGCACGGGGGTGCAGGCACCTTTGGGGGTGCACCAGGCACCTTTGGGGTGCACTAAGCACTTTTGGGCACCAAAAGGGGGATGCAGGCACCTTTTGGGGTGCATTAAGCACCTTTGGGCACCCTGGGCTTTTTGGGTGCCCCAAACCAGGCACCTTTGGGGTGCACTAAGCACTTTTGGGAACCAAAAGGGGGATGCAGGCACCTTTTGGGGTGCATTAAGCACCTTTGGGCACCCTGGGCTTTTTGGGTGCCCCAAGCACCTCTGGGCATCCTGGCAAGGGTGGGGAGCCCTCTTTTGGGGTGCACCAGGCACCTCTGGGCACCCTGGTGGGGGGGTGCAGGCACCTTTTGGGGTGCATTAAGCACCTTTGAGCACCCTGACGGGGGGGTGCAGGCACCTTCTGGGGTGCATTAAGCACCTTTGAGCCCCCTGGGGGGGGTGCAGGCACCTTTTGGGGTGCATTAAGCACCTTTGAGCACCCTGACGGGGGGGTGCAGGCACCTTCTGGGGTGCATTAAGCACCTTTGAGCCCCCTGGGGGGGGTGCAGGCACCTTTTGGGGTGCATTAAGCACCTTTGAGCACCCTGACGGGGGGGTGCAGGCACCTTCTGGGGTGCATTAAGCACCTTTGAGCCCCCTGGGGGGGGTGCAGGCACCTTTTGGGGTGCATTAAGCACCTTTGAGCACCCTGACGGGGGGGTGCAGGCACCTTCTGGGGTGCATTAAGCACCTTTGAGCCCCCTGGGGGGGGTGCAGGCACCTTTTGGGGTGCATTAAGCACCTTTGAGCACCCTGACGGGGGGGTGCAGGCACCTTCTGGGGTGCATTAAGCACCTTTGAGCCCCCTGGGGGGGGTGCAGGCACCTTTTGGGGGGGGGTGCATTAAGCACCCTTGAGC